ATCGTATCGTACGTAATCCGAAGTATATCAACCGGGCCGAGATCCCACTAGCAAAAAGGATAGGATCGAGATCCTGAATCTGGATGTGTTTTATGCAGAGATGCAGAAAAGCAGTTCAATCTCGATTTCCTGCACATCTCCATAATCTCGTCCAGATTCAGGCATTCGATCCGATCGTCTTTGCTAGTGGGACCACGCCCCCGGGGGCCTGGACCCACTAGCGAAGTATTCTACTTCGTGTTTGGTGTTTTCGATGACGTGCGGCTGAGGGCGACACAAACGAACCGCACATCTCACTTTGCATCGACGGGCCCGCCTGATGCAGCATACAGTGGTGCCCATGATAAAGCACCGACCAATGAACTGGGTGCCACTAGCTTTTTTCATATTGAGATTAAACATTGAAGTTGGTCTCGATTTGCAGACGTTTGGAAGGGGCCCGGGGGGGGGGGGGGGGGGGGGGGGGGGGGGGGGGGGCCGGGGGGGGCGGGGCCGGGGGGGGGCGGGGCCCGGGGGGTTGGGGTTTGGGCGGGGAGGGGGGTTTGAGAATTGGAGGCGTTGCTGTTTACACCCTTGGCTTACTAACAAAAAAAAAAAGAAATGGCGGGCAGTTAGGCACTAGTTGCACTACTCACCATCCCCCAAGAATTCGAATGCATCTGGACAAAGATGATGTCCACAAAGGACCGGACACTTAGGATCGGCCACAGGGCGCTGCGCCCGGCCCGACCAAACATGCCCCGTTCGAAGCGACGCGTCTGCATGGTGCCTGACTAGGTGGCGGGAGTGAATTGAGCACGGCAGTGGGAGAAGCGGCAAGGCTATGGTGGGAGGTGATGAAGATGAGACATGGCGGGCGTTTTATGGGAGGGGTTGGAGTGCTCAGGTTGTTCGCAGGGGCCATCTTCTCTTCTCCGTGTGATTGCGACGAACCAATTTCTGTTCCGCGCGATTTTCTGCGCGATGACAATGAGGGGTCCTAAGATGGGAAGGTTGGGCCAATTACGGGAGATCGGGATTGAAGGGAAATTGCATCAGTGTCCTCGCTTCTTCGTCTTTTTGCGTCGTTTCTTTTTCGGATGGCTGGGTTCAGGGCCGGGCAAGTCCCGAGATAGCCGATTGAGTGGCTGTCGCGCCGACAAAGGCGCGAATAATAATGCTTGACATCGCTTCTTTCTTGTTTTGTTGTCGGGTTTTAGGCGCGGAGATCGCGCGGGAATTTTGCTTCGTTCCTTTTAAATTTCTTTTTTTCTGAATCTTGTCAAGCCTTGATGACTCTCGGAAATTCGGATTTTCTTTTCGGAATTTGTGCCTCTTTTTGCATTAGCTAGGAATTTAGGAATTTAGGAATTTAGATTTGGGATTTCTTTTGCCGCCCGTTGTCTTTCTCGCGCGCTTCTTTTTTTGCGGATGCAACGGAGCTCTGATTAGTCGGCGGCCTTAATCTTGCATGTAACTGTAATTTTTGGGCGGGCGCCATTGTAACTGTATCTTTCTTCTTGAGCTTCGTCTTTCCCGCTCTCTCTTTCCCTTTTGCTATGCCTAATTGACTCGCGGCCTGCATGCTCGGACCGATGCGTGGAGAGTGGCTACGTCCCCCACGCCGCGGTCTGACCATGCCACCCAACCTCCTTTCTAAGTCCTTGCAATTCCGTGTTCTTCGCGCATGCATGCACGCTATAAATTTCGGCTGCGCGATTAGATACCTCTCTTAACCAGCTGTTGGAAGCTCGGGGTAGTGCGATCAGTGAGGGTCGGATCACAAGCGAAGTAAGAGGTGAGTTGAAGTGGGAGTCGGGCGACCCGACGAGCTGGTGCCGAATGCGCGGTTGACGCGTGGGGCTACGACGGACTGTAGCGCGTGGGCGAACCTGACGGGTGCAGGAGGACTAAGCGGGGTGACGACTTCGTGGGTTGATGCGTGACGACAGACTGTCCGCATCGGAGAGAGAGAGAGAGAGGAAGAGAGAGCGGAGGTTGATGGACGTGGATTTGCAATTTTCTTTGTCTTATCGCCCTCCTTACTTTTGTTTATAAATTTTGATCTCGGCTCCGGACGGCTCGCCCATTTTTCCTTGTTTTCGGAATTCTTGTCTTGGTTTCAGCCCACACTCGTTTCGCGATTGATTTTGATCTCGTGTATTGTGTGTCTTGTCGAATGAATGGATGAATGAATGTGATGTCTGTTGCTTTTCTTTTGTCTGGTCTTCGCCATTTTGATACACTCATAAGCATAGTAGAAACTCTTGCGTAGTCGTCATTACTGCTTTCCTTACTGATTATCCCTTTGATCCGTTGTTGCTGCTGCGATGTCTGATGTATAGCGGCACCTTGCATGCTCAGAAACGATTGCTTGCGGGATCACAGAGTGATTAGATGATTGGGTTGTTGTTTGTGGCACGTGACAATTTTGCATAAGGAATTGGCCTCTCATCGTCCCAGAGACGAGCGAATACCTCGCGGGAATACGTGTAAGCGCGATCTGATCTGCGCAGCCTACACGCATTCACGCGCGCCGATTCGTGACCAGTGACGAACTTGACATCTCCGGTATCGAGTAGGCGGGAATTTTCCTTTCCCCACGCACCTAAACGGATAGGAATTTCCGATATCACATCAGGAAAATCCCCTTGCCAATTGGACGCATGCGGAAGGCTTCCATTACGCCGCAATGATAAGATGCCGAGCTCCTGGGACTCGGAGTACTTCGACCCTTGGGTGAGAGAATATATTAGGCAGAGATACCCGGAATTCCCCTGCCTAACCGATAATCGATTGTGCCCCAGGGAGTTTCACTGTGCCGTAACCAGCGATCCGAGGTGCCCCGATTTTCCTACTACGGATAACACGCAATACTCCATATCCCGCGGCTTCGTCGTCATCACTACCAGCTTCCCTCCCTTTCGTCTCCTCCTCCCATATTACCATTTCACAGTGGTTCCGTGGAATTCCATCGCCCCGTATTGGACTCGCACACCTTGCGAAAATTGTCGGCGACTCGACAACCGACGAGCCTCCGAAACTACGGGGCCTAACCAGAACGCGCGACGACAGACACCACGTGTCTGCACCCGAAGGTCCGACTCATCGGAATCACAACCATCTCGGGCGGACCGTTCCCCGAACCGCCGCCACCAAAATAGACGGATCGGAGGACCTTGAATGCACCACGCATGCTATCTGCCTTATGCTGCACGACCTCGACTGCCATCAGACCGAAAGTAACTCGCCCCCTTAGCTCTATTGCATCTATGCCCCTAAAACTTTGCCACATGAGATCTTAGTTCCAACCTGGGACTCCACCCCCACTTTCCCGAAAATCCTTGGCACACCCCTTTTCGCACTTCCAGCACCACATCCCACTCCGATCAGGAAGTCGCGCCGGGCGTGAGGTTGGTATCGGAGCCTGACATGTGGCAGGGTTCTAGTACTCATAGCTGGGCGATCTAGCTAACAGGGGACGACCTCGACCCAGGAACGCGTATTGACGCGATCCCGTCGTCACCAGAAGCCGGTGTGCGGCCCGACGGGCGGTCAACATGAATGCTAATCAGCAGAACCCCCAAAAGAACCCGAATCCCCAGCAGAATCCTAATCAACCCGTACCACGAGCACGGGCACCCATGACACCACCCGATCTCTATCTATTCGAACCTGCTCATCACCTCGCTGGAGCATGGCTAGCCACGCTCCGGGCTCAGCAGTATGATGACAACGAGGCACAGGTGAATATCCCCGCTCGTTTGGGAGGAGACGCCCACCACTGGTTTAACACCTATGTATGGGTTGATCTCCCGACATTCGAGCGAGATTTCTTGAATCGATTCAATTACATCCACCCGGAACAGACTCTTTTTATGATCAAAGATCGAGTTAAAAACCCCCTCGAATTTGTCACCGAGTATTGAAACCGATTCTATAGGATGTTTGTGAAAACGGAACGAGGCGAACAGGTAGGCAGAGATTTGTTCATCGATGGGCTCCGCAACAGAACGATGAGGGCGAAACTGCGAAAACAGTTCTCCCCCATCAATCACACGCTGCAATAGATCATGGCAACCGCAAAGGAAATGAAACGAAAGTTCGCTGTGAGTTTCCTGGAAGGGGAGGACTATCCTAGGGAAGGAGACTCGTCCAAACTAGCGAGAGCTAAAGCTGAGTTGGCTGCAATGCAAAACAAATTTGAAAACATGGGGTTTGTGTCGGGCATGTCACCTATCTGGAACATATTAGTCCCAAACGACCGGTCCCGGGTGTGATTACGAGCATGCCCGTGTCCGTGATGATAGCATCCCCGCCACCGATCGAAACCCCCGCAAGACCGAATGAGTCTTCCGTCCTATTAGAACTAACCAAGACATTGGTTACTCTGATTCAAGAAAGCAAAAAGGCACAGCAGGAGCACAACGCCCGAATAGAGGCGATGATGAGGTCGATGCGACCAATAGCGGTGCAAGCCGCCCCGATTCAATACGGATTAACTCTGGCACCCCCTCCTGCAAGGATCCTTGACAATCTGAACGTCTATTACACGTGTCACCAACCAGGGCATATAGCCCGAGATTGCCCTCATCGACCCCCGCAGCAACGGTTTGGAGCACCGGTAGCAGCGACCCCGATCGCCAACGGACCTGGACGAGTAGGGGCATTAATGGAAGAAATGGAAGGAGGCGAAAACGCATTAGCTACGATGGAGGAAGCTGCTGAACTAATCCCGCTGGAACAGTATGTAACGCTGGGCTACCCAGGGCTTGGGATAATTGGAACGATTAGACCTGCGCCAGAGCAAAGAAAAGTGGCGGAATGACAACCGTCTCCAGGAGAAATGGAGTCAGGAGGACCCACCTTCGTCACCGGGGAAATCGATATTTTGAACATCGTTCGAGCTTTGGATCATCGGATTCCTCTTCCGATTGGTCATCTACTTTCGATATCGGAACAAGCCAACAAACGAATGTTGCAGCACTGCAAAGCGAATCGAAAACGATTCGCCCTCGTCC